TTTGTTCCCATAGGCTCAGAGACCCTTGGCTCATGGGGAAAGAGTGCATCTAAATTCCTTAAGGAGCTGGGAAAAAGACTCATCAGGGTAACTAGGGATCCCAGGGCAGCTAGTTTTCTGTTCCAGCGGCTCAGTGCGGCTGTTCAAAGGGGTAATGCCTGCTGTATTTTGGGCACACGCCCCAGCTCTGAGGGGCTGGATGAGATTTTCGCCTTATAATCGGTGATACACACGTAACAACATGTACCGTATATGCCACCTTTATATCAATAATGTATCTCTTAAATCTTCTGTACCATATTATGTAATAAAATATTCCTATTAGTAAAAAAAAAAATAAATATGAAAAGATGGGGTGGTAGGGGAAGTGGAATATTCAAACGGCTTCAGGAAGAAATCCAAATATTTTTCCTTGAAGCCTTTTTATCCACTTCTCCGAGGCTATGGGTCCCACAATTTACACCAGAGGTGGACCCCATCCTATAATATATATATAATATATATATATATATATATATATATATATATATATATATATATATATATATATATATATATATATATATATAATATATATACATACATACATACATACATACATATATACACACACCCCTTTTGTTTTAGGGCACCTACCAGATTACGTGTGACTGCACCTAAATAACAAAAAGGCACAATACCGTGACTGGAAAGATACACAAATAACCCGCACATAGAAGAGAGGAGCTTACGACGACATTTCGGTCCGACTTGGACTTTGTAAATGGTCCAAGTCGGACCGAAACGTCGTCGTAAGCTCCTCTCTTCTATGTGCGGGTTATTTGTATACTGCACCTAAATAAACTTAAACTTAACAAATTAATGACGCATGAGACAGTGGATCCCAGAATCGAAAATGTACAACAGTTACATTCTTATGTGATGAGCTAAACCCGTGTGAGTCATTTAGTAGTGATGGAAGCTGGATCCTTGATCCGTTAAGTGCACAGCACACACGCTACCTAGATGAACTCACTAACTAATTGTACTCAGACAGGAAATATGACACCGTAAAGGCTGGAGAAAGAAAATATAATCACAGACTTGTAAACAATGAAAAAAACGTTGACAAAGATTTCTTATATGAGTTAATGATCCTGAGGATGATGACCCCGTGGTCCTCCCTCACACCACTAACAACTATGAAGACACAAGGAAAAGTAAAGTGGATAGTACCAAGTACATGCGTAACACCTTTATCAGTCATGGATTTCGAGAGCTTTCCTACCTGCTTGTTTATGAGACAGGAAAGAAAGAACAGCCGTGCTGAAAGATTTCTTAATGTCATCAACAAAGACAACAAGAGACTATAAATTTAAACCATCTTATTGTATTAATAATAAAGACAACATATTTCTCATTAAGGTGTATGAAATACAATAACAAGGCATGAGAGTTTCCTTCATTATGTATACAGCATTCTTGAATGAAACTGTGTAGGTAAAACACTCCACACAACACACACACACACACAACACACACACACACACACACACACACACACACAGGAGCTTGGACTCGACCCCTGCAACCTCAACTAGGTGAGTACACACACACACACACACACACACACATATATACATACATATACAGATATAATATATATAAAGAACATACTGCGACTGACAGGGACTTGAACCCCAAGTTGTCTAGGCAGCCTCCCTATAAGCTAGCTAACCTCTGGATGCTCAAGACCACTACGCCACCATGCCACGTATTAACGTACGTGTGTGTTATATATATCATATCCATCTGTTCCAATAAAAGTCACACATAACTACACTGTCACCGAGAACACTGGTATTGGATCCTGCGTGTTAATGATGCCGCCTCAATGGTGTTCTTGTAGGACACACTTTTTGATATATTTATAGTATGGATTTTTTTTCGATGCAAATCAGCTGCTGGTCAGCCAGACTGTAGTGCCTACTTTGGACCGCTTGCTGCTAGCTTACCAACCAAGTCTGGTCTAGGACCGGACCACAGTGGTGATGACCCCAGAATGGACAACAGGTAGGTAGGTACAATGGATGCTATTTCTAAAAAGATACCAATAATAATCTTCAAATTGCCATGTAGACATATTTCGGTTAATTTCTTAGAAATCTATTGCATGTTCCGTTTTTAGGCTGGAAAACCCACACACACATTATGAACAATTTAGTCTCTGAAACAAGAGATTAAGGGAGTCTCTTACGTACATAGTGCCAAATTTACATTGGTCTTTCTTGTGTATTGTCTCCAAGAGTGTTCCTTTGTGTCAGTCACCAGCCTTTATTACACTTTTGTATCTCTCCGTCTCTATCTTCTGTCGCACGTCTGCGCGACGTGCGACAGGAGAGAAGGATGGGTACATTGCCTTTTCTAAGACCACAAAAAAGCATTTAATACTGTACACCTCAAGAGCCTGAGCCAAAATCCTGTGGTGCAGCCAGGAAAAACAGGGAATATATTACGGCGGATCAAAGAGTACTGTACGGAATGAAGCAAAGAGACATTCTCAGGGAACAGACGTCAGAATGGGGATGAGTAACTAGCAGAGTTCCGTTCACAAGGATCGGTAACAGGACCGATACTGTTCCTGATTTTTTGTGAATATTCCTGATGGGATTTGATTCAGATATATCCCTGTTTACTGATGGCTGAAAACTTATGAGAATAAAAACGGGTGTGGATAAGGAAAGGCTGTAAATAGATCTGGACGCACTGCAAATTAGTCAGGCAAGTGGTTGCCTGAATTCAGTCCCAGTAAATGCAACATCATGAACATTGAGGAAGAAGCAAAACGACGAGGAACGGGGTATAGGAAGTGCAGACTTGACATACCCAGAAAATAAAATTCTTATGTCCGTGAGATTTTGAAATAAATAAAATCTTATAGTTTGAAAGTTTTTTTTTTTCTGAATCGAATACTGTGTTGAATTTAGCCGAAACTGACGCACTGTTGGTAACATCGGCGCTAAAGCGCCAATTATTTATTTCGGTTTCTGTTAAGCCTTATAGAGTGCGATTTTCCATTGTTTTTTGTGCACTGATTTATACTAAGTATCACATTTTGCACTGAAAATAACCTAATTTCCAGCAAAAAATAATAATGTAAATAACTCGGGAAGCAGAATGCACCATAGGAATATCATCAACACTATCTCCACAAAAACATGGTTTGCCATATATATATATATATATATATATATATATATATATATATATATATATAAAATATATATATATATATATATATATATATATATATATATATATATGTCGTGCCGAATAGGCAGAACTTGCGATCTTGGCTTAAATAACAACGCTCATCTTGCCATATAGGACAAGCGAAAATTTGTGTATGCAATAATTTCGCCAAAATCATTCTGAACCTAACGAAAAAAATATATTTCACTGTGTTTGCTTAATATTAAATTATTGTAAACAAATCTAAAATATATTTAGTTGGGTTAGGCTAAAATAAATTGATCTTGTTATAATAAAGTTAGGTAAGTTTTCTAAGATTCTTTTGGTGCAAAATTATAATTTTTACATTAACATTAATGGAAAAAATATATCTTTAAACGTATAAGAGAAAATTTCAGAAAGGAATTAATTTTAAATGAGTTCTTGCTAATTGACCAGTTTTACATATTCGGCACGACATACAATACATACATAATACATATATATATATATAATATATATATATATATATATATAATATAATATAATATATATATATATATATATATATATATAATGATTGTTTCTGTCATGCAACACTATATATAGGTTTTTATTGACAACTATTTTCTATTTCCTCTCACTGTCTCGCACATGCTTCTATTGTTCACCTTGAAATCACAAAGAGAAGGGCTTGTGTACCAATTATCTGTGAATCAGGTGAACTCCCTTACCTAGATATGGCTTCCTCATATTCCTCACAACTGCACCAGAGAGTTCTATGTCACGTGTGTTTTCCATAGTTTGCTTTCCTGTTTACACAATAAAATCTCTCACTATTCCAGTTTCACAACCCCACATCACAAACACTTTGATACAGAACCCATGTCGTTTGCTTGGTATATATATTGCTTGAAGTTAACTATTCATTTAAAACAATCAAAGACTCATCTATGACAACATTCTGGAATGGATAAAAGTACTCATTGAATTTGTTTCAGGTACATAATCACTTCCCTTATTTTGTAGAGCAAACTATCTCTGGGGATTGAGTTTATGAGAGAAATACAAGATAAGTAGAAACAACAATAGAGCGATCAGTGGGCATGATTACACTGAAGCTGGTGTTGCTACAAGTTTATCTGTACTACAATACTTCGATATATTATTCTTACGGAAATGGAGCATCAGCAATAGTTTTGAAAAGAACAGATACAGCTCTGCAAGTGTTCATCCACTGTCTAAGCATTGACTTCAGTGCAACATAAGACCTAGTCATCGTGTACTTGCAACAGACGTTTGTTCGAACAACAACAATGTTAAGTGTGTAGTCGAAGAATAACCGAAAGTGAATTTCAGTGGAACTGTGCGTTATAGAACAATTTGGCTGGATTCCACTTTTACTATAATGAAACTGTGAAACATTTGTCACAAATGAGGAACTTCCCTGCCAGTTCCGCACACTGTTGCTGTGATATATTTGTCGGTGGTGACACGGCTGGTAGTGGTCACGGCTGGTGATGTGCTGTCAGGACTGTCGTCACAGTTGGTGTTGGTGCTGTCAGGACTGTCGTCACAGTTGGTGTTGGTGCTGTCAGGACTGTTGTCACAGTTGGTGTTGGTGCTGTCAGGACTGTTGTCACAGTTGGTGTTGGTGCTGTCAGGACTGTTGTCACAGTTGGTGTTGGTGCTGTCAGGACTGTTGTCACAGTTGTGTGTGCTGTCAGACTATGTGACAGCATATTGGCTGTCAGGACTATTAGTGTGACAGGGTAGATTATTTGGTGCTGTCAGGACTGTTGTCACAGCTGGTGATTGTGCTGTCAGGACTGTTGTCACAGTTGGTGCCGTCAGGACTGCTGTCACAGTTGGTGATGGTGCTCTCAAGATTGTCACAGCTGGTGTTGGTACTGTCAGGATTATTGTCACAGCTGGTGTTGGTGTTGTCAGGACTGCTGTCACAGCCGGTGTTGGCGCTGCATGTCGTTTTCTGATATCAATGAAAAACAGTCAATAACGTAGCCACTATCACTATCTCCTGCAGCCTAGATGTCTCACCACAGAACAGTGAAACAGCAGAGGAGTGAGAGCCAGACCAAGTGCGACGCCGTACCAGTGTTTGTTACAAGGGAGAATACTTTGCATCACTTGATTCACTACTCTCCCTCCTGTACTTATATTCCTCTCTAATGTCATCGCCCAAATCATTCCAATCACTATCCAATTCAGGGTAAAGAGCCGTCAGCGTCTACTTCGTGTGGCAAGAACAGAGGTGGAAGATCTGCTATATCTTGGGTTGAACTGGCACTTCTCTTATTCCTGGTCGTATTATCATTGATGTCCCCTTCAAAACAGAAAATAACGATTCACTGTCACCTTCCTTAATATCACTGGTGCCAGGATAAAACAGTAGTTCCTGGATTTCCCTTTAAAGAAAAAGGGGAAAAAAAAAAGGTTGGCGTGTCGGCCAGCCATAGTGAGCCTATTTTTAATAGCTGATTACTCGCAATGCCCTCCACATACCCATGTGGCCTGGATTTTTTCCTAGGGGGCACGTGGTAGCTAGCGATTCACAGTTGAGACCTAAAACGGAAGCGCATTGCAAATTTGAGGCTAAGAACAAAAATGTGCATACCAGTATGTCAAGACACAGTCACCATTTGCATAGTACGTTGGATACAGTGGCAGTAGCAACAAATTTAAACAAAACGGGAAATATCCCCACCATTTATGCCAAAAGGGATGGTGGTTTCTTAATAAGGTAAGCACCCTGTGGGGAGAGTGACACCCCTCCAAGAGAAAAGGCCCCCCGTCCCTAGGCACAACTAACCCCAGCGTTCAGTGTTGGGGAAAGGGGGGATAGGGAGTTGATACAGGATGGGGGGAGGAAACATTGGGCAACACACCTTACACCTGCTGCCCCTATTCACCTGGCTATAAACAGGGACCTGGGAATTAGCCAATAGTTGTGGATGACATACTAGGGAGGTGGCAGTATACCTTAGGTAAAAATGAGCTGAGGGAAAACAACAGACCTTAGCCTGTGGTTTCCCAGGCTATTAAAAACACAAATATAAACACCACAAAACAAGCAAAAAGACAAATATGAAAATTACACTCACCACTACTGCACATAACTGGTCCCCAGACTCACCTAGAGGGTAAAACAAGAATGAAAGAGAATAAGTTAGCGAACACTTGCATATATAGTACTGTACTACATAATGTACAATGTGCAATATCATATAGTACTGTATAATGTAGTGCGCAATAACATACCTTATTAACCAAGCAACAGCTGTAATACAGAAATTTATCTGAGGATTAGAGAATCTTTTTCAAACGTAATGTAGTCATAATTTACAACCATGCTATTAAGTTTTTTTAATTTTCTAATTCTGCTCAGCTGTAGGTGTAGGGTTGCATGGATATGTCCCATATTAAAACCAACATTGTGTACAGTATGCAAGAAATGACTGCATGCAGCGTTATGTTAATGGTTGTGGGATCATTACCCCCGTGACCTGGTCTTGGACAAGGCCTCGTACAGGACGACATGCCTTTATAGTAGACAATAAAACCTTAGCTTTATTAGCTGCTTTTTATTCACGACTTTTTTCAGTATTCAGGTCATGAAAGAGCAAATAAAGAAGGTTTATTTACCATGTATTGCACTGATAACACTGGCACTTCAGAACCAATTAAGTACTTAAGAATGTTGATTTGCAACTGCAATCATGGGAAATATTAAAAAAATTAAGTTTCCCCCAACTTTTTTTACCAAATGCATTAATACTTGTATAAGTTCATTTTATATACGTATAGAGAGCTCAAATTTGTTTAATATACTGAACAACAACTATAGACATATTTCTGGCGATTATCTAAAGGTTGAATTGTGCGTATAATTTTATTTCTCGGATAGTTTTTAATACTGTGTGTGTGTGGGTAGTAATAGTAGAAGTGTACTCACGTAAGTGTGGTTGCAGGAGTTAGGTCATAGCTCTTCACTGGTCGCTACTAAGTCCACTTTCTTCCTGCTCTATGAGCTTATCACCTCGTCTTAAAGTTAAGTATGGATCCAGTCTCCACAACCTCACTCTCCAGACTCTTCCACTTCTTGACAACTCTATGACTGAAGAAATACTTCGCTAACAACCCTGTGACTCATCTGAGTCTTCAGCTTCAGTTGTGACCCCTTGTTGCCGTGTCCCATCTCTGGAACATCCTGTCTATCCACCTTATCAATTCCTCTCATTATTTTATATGTCGTTATCATGTCCCCTCCCTTCTCTGTCCCGTCCTCCAGTGTCGTCAGGTCGATTTCCCTTAACCTCTCCTCGTAGGTCATGTCCCTTTGCCCCGGGACTAGTCTTGTTGCAAACCTTTGCACTTTCCCTAATTTCTTGACGTGTTTGACCAGGTGTGGGTTACAAACTAGTGCTGCATACTTCAGTATGGACCTGACGTACACTGTGCACAAAGGCCTGAACGATTCCTTACTGAGGTGTCGGAATGCTATTCTTAGGTTTGCCACGCGCCCATATACTGCAACAGTTATTTGGTTGAAGTTTGCCTCAGGAGATCCTTTTCTTGAGTGAGGTTTGCAGTTTTTGCCCCCCCCCCTAGACTGGACACTGCCTGCAGTCTTCTCTGCCCTTTCCCGATCTTCATGACTCTGCACTTGGTGGGGTTGAAATCTAGGAGCCAGTTGCTGGACCAGGCTTCCAGCCTGTCCAATTCCCTGTATAATTCTGTCAGATCCTCGTCCAATTGAATTCTCCTCATTAGCTTCACATCGTCTGCAAACAGGGACACTTCTGAGTCTATCCCTTCTATCATGTCATTCACATACACCCGAAACAGCACTGGTCCTAGGACTGATCCCTGTGGAACCCCGCTCGTCACAGGTGCCCATTCTGACACCTCGTCACGTACCATGACTCGCTGATGCCTTCCTATCAGGTATTCTCCGATCCACTGCAGTGCCTTTCCTGTGATACCTGCCTGGTCCTCCAACTCTTGCACTAATCTCTTGTGTGGAACTGTGTGTGTGTGTGTTAGTAGTAGTGTACTCACTGCTACTAACACTTCCTGACAACTCTGAGGCTAAAAAAAAATACTTCCTAACATCTTCCTCATCTGGGTTTTCAACTTCCAATTGTGGCCCCTTGTTCTTGTGTCCCATCTCTGATACATTCGAGCCCTGTCAATTCCTCTCAGTATTTTATACGTCGTAATCACGTCCCCCCTCCCTTCTATTCTCTAGTGTCATCAGGTTGAGTTCCCCTAATCTCTCCTCATAAGACATGCCCCCGCAGTTCCAGGACTAATCTTGTTGCAAACTTTTGCGCTTTCTCCAATTTCTTGACATGTCTGATTAGGACAGGATGGATAATGAGAACCTTCAAAACTAGGGAGGCCAAGCCCATGATGACACTCTTCAGGTCACTTGTTCTATCTAGGCTGGAATATTGCTGCACACTAACAGCACCTTTCAAGGCAGGTGAAATTGCCGACCTAGAAAATGTACAGAGAACTTTCACGGCGAGCATAACGGAGATAAAACACCTCAATTACTGGGAGCGCTTGAGGTTCCTAAACCTGTATTCCCTGGAACGCAGGAGGGAGAGATACATGATTATATACACCTGGAAAATCCTAGAGGGACTAGTACCGAACTTGCACACAAAAAATCACTCCACTACGAAAGCAAAAGACTTGGCAGACGATGCACCATCCCCCCAAGAAAAGCAGGGGTGTCACTAGCACGTTAAGAACCATACAATAAGTGTCAGGGGCCCGAGAACTGTTCAACTGCCTCCCAGCACACATAAGGGGGATTACCAACAGACCCCTGGCAGTCTTCAAGCTGGCACTGGACAAGCACCTAAAGTCAGTTCCTGATCAGCCAGGCTGTGGCTCGTACGTTGGTTTGCGTGCAGCCAGCAGCAACAGCCTGGTTGATCAGGCTCTGATCCACCAGGAGGCCTGGTCACAGACCGGGCCGCGGGGGCGTTGACCCCCGGAACTCTCTCCAGGTAAACTCCAGGTGTGGGTTCAATACTGGTGCTGCATACTCCAGTATAGGCCTAACGTAAATGACTCCTTACTTAGATGTCGAAATGCTATTCTCAGGTTTGCCAAGTGCCCATATGCTGCAAAAGTTATGTGATTGATGTGTGCCTCAGGGGACATGCTCGGTATAATGCTTACCCCAAGATCCTTTTCTTTATGTGATGTCTACAGCCTTTGACCCCCTAACCTATACTCCGTCTGTGTTCTTCTTCACCCTTCCCCAATCTTCATGACTTTGCACTTGCTGGGGTTATACTCCGAGAGCCATTTGCCGGACCAGGCTTGTACCTTGTCTACCCCTTGTGATCTTAAGTGATCCTCGCCCGCTTGTACTCTCATCGGTTTCACATCATCAGCGAACAGCGACACTTCTGAATCTATTCCTTCCACCATGTCATTCACGTATATAAGAAGCAGCACCGGACCTAGGACTGACCCATGTGGAACCCCACTCGACACATTTGCCCACTCTGACACTTCACGTTTCAACACTCGTTGTTTCCTTCCTGTCAGGTATTCCCTGATCACTACAGTACTTTCCCTACTATTCCTGTCTGCTCCTCTAATTTCTAATCCAGTCTCTTGTGTGGTACTGTGCCAAAAGCCTTCTTGCAGTCCAAAAAGATGCAATCTATCTATCCCTCCCTCTCCTGTCTTAGTTCTTTTACCCTATCATAGAACTCATGTAGATTTGTGACACAGGATTTCCCATCTCTGAAGCAGTACTGATTGTCATGTAATGAGGCCAATCCTTTCAAAGTGCTCCACCACTCTTCTTCTGATAATCTTTTCCATGACTTTACATACTATACAAGTCAGTGATACTGGTCTGTAGTTTAATGCTGCCTGTATGTCTCCTTTCTTAAAAACTGGAACTACACTTGCTGTCTTCCATGCCTCGGGTAACTGCGCAGTTTCGATAGATTTATTGAAGACTGCTGCTAGCGGCACAAACAGTTCCTCTGCTCCCTCTCTCAGGACCCATGGAATTATGTTATTCGGGCCCACCACCTTCGAGGTATCTGGTTCACCTAGCAGTTTCACCTCCTCCTTCATTATGTGTACTGTGTCCAGCACCTGCTGGTGCACCCTACCTCCACGGTTTGCTGGAAGCATTTGTCTCTATTGTGAATACTTCTCTAAATCTTGTGTTAAGTCATCACATATTTCCCTGGTCACTTTTTTGGGTGAGTTTCCCCTCCTTTCCTCAGCCTGATTCCCTTTGGTCCTTGACTGGAGCTCACAAAAAACCCGACCAGAATTGTGTGTGGAGCTCAACATGAAATTTAAGAAAGTATTTTAGAAAGTATTTAAAAGGATCCGGTAAGTCAGAATGGGGAGGGGTTGTTTACACCAAAAAGGATATACCAACAAGTGCTGGATGATACACGGGACAACAAGGAGGAGGTGAAGAAGCTGTAAATTCCCTAGAAAAACCTCAAATGGGGGTTTGGGACCGGGAATCTCTCCATGGGACCTTAGGGAGGGAGCGGGGATGCTGTTTGTGCCAATACCAATTTTCAACACATCCATTGAAACGGGGCAAATACCTGAGGTAGGGAAAGGGCGGCAAAATGAGTCCCCATTTTTAAGAAGACAGACATGAGGCACTAAACTACAGACCAGTGTCATTAATGGTAATAGTATGCAAAGTCATGGAGAAGATTATCAGGAGGAGATGGTAGAGCACCTAGAATGGAACATGCTTAGAACGACAACTAGCACAGATTCGGGTAATAGTAATAGCAGCAGTAATAGTTAATCACAGCAGTAATAGTAGCAAAAGCATAGTAATAGTAACAAAAAGCACAGTAATATTTAGAATAGCAGGGAAGGAAAATTATGTATCACAAACCTACTGGAGTTTTATTGATAAGGAATAGAAGTAAGACACGAGAGAGAGGCACGGGTGAACTGCTTTTTCTTGGACTGCAAAAGGCCTTCAACAAAAGTTCCTCACAAGAGATTAGTGAAAAAGCTAGAGGATCAGGCCACACATAACAGGAAGGGCACTGCAATGGATCAGAGAATACATGACAGGGAGGCAACAACGAGTCATGGTAAGTGACGAGGTGT